TGATAAAAATACTATTGAGTTTTTTCATGGTTTATGTAATGAACTCTTACTATTGCTCACAGTTTAATTGTGAAAAAGACTAAAAAAATAACAAGGAAATTTCAATAGGATACATAAGCAGTCATAATTATTCATGCTCTCTGAGATAAAATCTTCCCTTATTTACTCAAGAGAATAGTCATACTAGACTGTTATCATCATTTAAAAAAGTTCCTCTATAAAAATACCACTTGAATAAATCTTAAGATAATATCACTCATTTACCCTTCTCAAACGAAATAAAAGTTTATACCTGCTAAAAAAGTCATTAAAAATAAAAAGATAAATAAGGAAAATTTATTGAGATGAAAGATAGCATGGATTATTCAGATATGCATGGATTTTAGTTATTTGGAAATATAAAAATAATTAAACTAGATTATAATTAAGATTTTCAGAAAGAAAATGGAATTTACTAGTATAACTTAATTTGCAAAGTAGATTTGTATTTATTCAATAATGAAGATCAATAGTATGATTTCATTGATAAGCTATTTGTCTCAGATGCCCATATCCCAGAAATAAAACTAATAGAACTATCTGATGATGAATTAGGCATCAAAATTGACAACTTCAATGATTTGTTGATGTATACCTTGGCAAGTTAAGTTTAAATTCATTTTATACTTGGAGCTTAATAATTCTATTTAAATATAATTGGGAATAGTAAAAAAATTAGTGATAGTTCACTAGAATATAATAATGATATGATTGAATCAAGCTTAATAATCTAAACCAAACATATTACGAGGGTCATTTAAGTAGATGCTTATTTCAATGGGGATGCTTAGAGATAATAAGAATTAATTCCTATTGAGAATTCAAGATTGCCTTAAAGGTAATTAGCAAATTGTAATCCAGCAAGTTATTAAGGAACTTATTAAAGTGTTTCAAATTTAGAATTCTGCACCTTCTTTAATTAGGATCAGTACTTCTCTCTTAGTTCTTTGATTGTCTTAAAAGATTTAAGTGGCAATGTATGTACTCCTCTATCTTATACATACGGTGTTACCTGTGCAACTTCTTGTGATTCATCAAAATTTAGTATCGATACCGCAACGGGGGTCTTGACATTGAAAAATACTTATTCAACTGTATGGAACTTTAGGTTAAAATTAATTTACAATGGTTAAACTTATGAAACTGCAGCCTTTTGGATTTACAATAAAAATGGAAATTCTTGTGATCTTTAAACTACAACCATATCAACGACTACTACCTCGACAACTACCACTACCACAACCACCACCACGACAACGACAACTACAACCACCACCACCACAACAACTACAACTACCACTACTACTACAACCACCAGCACTACTACGACAACCACTACTACAACTACCACTACTACAACCACCAGTACTACAACCACTACAACAACTACAACATCTACATCAACTACAACAACATCTACAACTACTACGACGTCTTCTACAACAACTACAACTACATCTACAACGACAACTCCAACCCCTACAACAACAACAACTACTACCTCATCTTCTTCAACTACTACAACTTCAACATCTACAACACCAGCTCCCACTACTTCATCTACAACAACCTCTACTACTACTTCTACTACAGCAACTCCTCAATGTGTTATCAATCAGCAACTTAATTTATTAAGTTTAACTACGATTTATTCTTATATCAATGGATAAAGTGGGAAAAATATTGGGTAAATTGAATGGTCTGATTATGAATCAAACTCACTATGCACCTATTAAATCATCCTCTATTCATCAAGAATCTCATTAAGTGTAAATATCTTTTATATCAATTTTACTTATTATTCTAGGCTATTATTGGAAAACCAGGTCGCTATAAAATCATTTTCAATTCTGCAAATGATGCCCTCACTCCTGGTTTATTTATCGAAAAACTTAGAGGAAATGTTGATGGGGTTCTTGTTGGATCTGATATTTTAATCTAAATCACTGTTACTAACATTAATAGCGAAGCTTATGAAATTAAAGATAATACCGCTCCATATTTTTCAGAGAATTTAAAGAACTTATAGATTACATATCCTGACAAGTTAGCCTATTAACTTCCTGATATTATCGATGATGAGGAGAATAGTGTTTCTGTAGAAGTTTCATCTACAGTTTAGTTTTTCTCATTTAGTAAATCTTAGAATCAATTTGTTATAAATCCTACCATTAAAGATTAAGGGTCTCATCAAGTTAAAATTATTCTAAGAGATAATGCTAAACTATAGATAACATAAGAATACGTTTTAAACATTGAAGTTCTAGTTCCTGCATCTATTCAATAAATATTAGAAGATGAAGATGCCACTTAATCGCAAAATTCAAGTATAAGTATTATCAGTCCTTATCTAAAAAATTGATTAAAAAGGTAAGGTTATTATAAAGTTTAGTGAAGATATGATTATCAGTAAGAATCTTACCATATATGAGTAAAATTAAACAATGAAATTAGAAATTATTGCTTTTGATGGATAGAATAAGGATAAGTTATAATTCAAATGGAGAGTATTAGAATTTGAAAAATCTTCAATGAAAATATAAATAGATTTCTAGAATCCACTTTACATATCTTATCAAAAGTACAATAATCTCTAGATTACATTCAAGGATTAAGCTATTTTCTAGAATAAAGATGGAAACTAATACATAGCTAAAAATACAAAGATTAAGAATTATATTCCAAGATAAATAGGAGCTGATTGTAATTATTCTGAATTTTAATTGAATTATAGCACTCTCAGCACTAATGGATGAAAATAAAGGATCGATACAATCGAGTACTAATGCAATTGCGCTTAGTAATTTAGCTTTAAATTTAATTCTGTAAGGAATCTCTTTTTTGAACTTTAAATTGAATTATTTTTAGATCTACATCTCTATAATTTCTCTGGGGAATGATTAATGCTCAACAAATAATATTGCATATGCCGATTCTTGCTATTAGCTTTCCTGCGAATGCTCAAATGCTATTTTTGATGATATTTGAAGTCACTAACTTCAATCTCTTGCCAGCAGACTAAATAATTTAAGATTTGTTTAATTTTGAAGATGACGAAGCATTAAATACAAATTTTGAGGATTATGATATCTTTTAAAAACTTTATCTTGTTACTGTCTATGTTAACTTTTGAATGCTATTAGTCTAAGTATATGATCTCTAATCTTAGCTCTATCTTTTTATTTGGTTGCTTAATAATCCTTGCATATTGCTTTTACTTTTTACTAGTGCTTTTGAAATTTCCTAATTTTAAATAGTAAGATAAAATCCTAATAAAATTCAATTTACAGTACGAAAAAGATAATGTCTATTATGAAGGGGTTGCTATTTTATAATTTTTTGTTGAGATACTATTTTGAGAGTTATCTGGAATTTACAATAAACGGGCTGATAAATGCTAAAAAAGCTAATTTCATTAATTAAAGTGGTAGAATTTCTACATTCATGGCCTATTTATCTCTAATGTTGGCTGTTGTTTTTCCAATATTTGTATTTTTTAAGCTATTAATGAATAAAAAATTACTTGGAGAGTAAGTATTTGACAGCAAATTTGATTCATTATATGAATCCTTAGACACTAAAAGGTTTTCAAGCATCTCTTATAGCATCCTATTTTTAGTCAGAAGATTTATTTTTGCATTAGTTATTGTATTGGCAGATGAATCACCAGTATTTTAGATCTAGGTATCTATTTTAATTAGTTATTTTTTCTTATTTTCGATGATCTTGGTGAAACCATTTAAGGAAAAGAAACTATTATACCTAGAAGCTTTTAATGAAGCTTGCATTTTATGTATTTCTTATAGTCTCTTCTTGTTTACAGATTACCTTCCCGATGACCCAGATTTCTAATACCAAATTGGGTGGCTAATGATAGGCATTACGCTGCTGAATATCTTAGTTAATATGGTTTAAATGACTTATGCATCTGTTAAATAACTAATTCTTAAAATTAAAGCATGTTCTAAGAAAAAAACTAAAAAATCTTAAGATTACGATTAGTTGATGACTGAAAAAATGCCAGCAATTTAATAATTTATCATTACAAAATTTAAGGTTACATAAAATAAAACTCAGATTATTAATATACAGGCTCAATAGTAAAATATTGAAGTCTTTTCTTAGAATAAATAAGATCTATAGAAACCTAGCTAAAAACGCAAATTTAGAAATCGTAAGAACTCTAATGTACTTTCACGGAAAAGTAAGATTCATTAGAATGAACTTTCATTTAATAAAGAGGAGTCTTAAGATTACTCTATTGAAATTCCAAATAAGGAGAGATTTGAGACAAACTAAAAAGATGAATTAGAATAATACTTAGAGATTTAAGATATTCCTCCAAATAATTTTTATTTAGAAGAAGGATTAAAAAGTCGAATTTAAAGAGATAAAGTATTTGATTTAACAAGGAGCTTTGAAGAGATTGATAACATTGGTTTTATTAGGAATTCGTTGATAAAAAAGAAATAAATTAGCATGTTATCAAATAAATAAGAGGATTTTGAATTTGAAATAAAAAGATAGCAAAAATATTATTGATTTGAATATAATTATTGACTAATTTACAAAAATTAAAAAATCATTAACTTATGGGGTTTTGGGGTTTTGGGGTTTTGGGGTTTTGGGG